GCTTATTCTCTGAAGATGTTAAGCTGATGTGGCTTAGATAACTTTTGTTAGGATAAGCAAATGTGGTTTAAGAAGCTTCTTGTTGTGTCAAAAGGTTGCTATAATGTTAAATGTTTTGCAATTGTATTCCTACTTATAAATATGTATGTAACCTATGAAATGAGTGAGGAAGTGTGAGTGAAAAACATCCAATTACAAGGCAGTCTAGCTCTCTGTGACCTTTTCAGGCAAGGAAGGACAGGACTCTGCAGGTATATAAATTAACTTGATGAATGGCTAGGAGTCTCTCTTTCTCTGGACAAAATGTAACATCACAGCAGAAACCTGGGACCGTTAAAGAGAAGAAAGCCCTCCCACAGATCTGAAGGGATAGCCAAGTATCACTGTGGCCTTGCAGTCAATCTCTGGGAAATTGTTGCCTGGCTAGCTCCAGGTGCCTGTGAAATCGGAAGAAATCTACGCAACACCTTTACCTTGTCTCATACTGCTAGTATGTGTGTGATGCATTTCGTCAATTTACATCAATAAACACCCCTCAGTACTGTTCCAGTTAATTCTTTGTCTGAATTCATTCCCTGGCTGGTCTGGGCAGGGCAATACCACCCATTGCTGTAATAATGCAACAGTTCAATTATTTATAAAAAGAAAAATTGTTTAAGCACACACTGGAATCTCCACAGAGAGAAGCTCCATAAATTCTATGTATTTGAGAGAGTTTATCTTTTGAGTGTCTGTCTGCGTGTCCATCTGTTTGTCTGTCCAAGAACTCCTCCTAAACAGTAAGAGCTAGGACCACCAAAATCATTAAACAGCTTCTTCTTATTGTAACTTAAAGCAAGGTCAGGATTTAGTTGTGCCAGGAAAATGGGATTGTTTCTCATAAAATCATAGGGTGTGTCTAGACTACAGGGTTTTGTCGACAAAAGTGGACTTTTGTCGACAAAACTATACCTGCGTCCACACTGCCTTTGAGATATGTCGACATAATGTTGACAAAACTCAGCAGTTTTGTCGACGTATGTAAACCTCATTCTACGAGGAATAATGCCTTTTGTTGACAGAGTTCTGTCGATAGAAGGCATTATTGCATCTACACTGTCCTTTGCGTCCACACTGTTATATCAACAAAGCGGCTTGCTTTGTTGACAGAACTGGATGTAGTCTAGACGCTCTTTGTCGACAGAAGCTTTGTCGACAGTATCTGTCGACAAAACTTCTGTCGACAAAACCCTGTAGTCTAGACATACCCATACAGAAAAAGAAAATCATCAGTTAGGTAAAAGGGGCTGCTTGGTGGGAGCCCTACCCCGTGCAGGACTGCGCCAGCCCCGAGCCTTCCACCCCACCAGCACCCATTAGGGAGGGTCAGGGGCTGAAACTTCCATTCATATGGGAACATTGCTGGCTGTTCATTTTTGTCAGGGAGCAAGGGGAAAGTGTGGTGAGTGAGAGCTGGGGTAATCTTCTCTCCCTGGGGCAGCCTGTACACTGAATCCCTCATTCCTCAGAGCAATGATTTAAATGGCACATGTACATTTTTATTTTATTTTCCAAAAAATAAACATTAATATAGGACCTGAGCAACTCCAGGTAAATCTTCTACTGTATGCACTAGAAGATTTACTCCCATCCCACAAATACACACTTCCTTGCATCACTGACAACCTGATACACAGGATAATTTTTGTAATAGCTGGGCCTTTTTTAATGGCTTGACTCAATTATACTGTTATCTGTAATTAAAAGTTTCTCTTTTAGGCTGGGTATTGAGAAATGTTAGTCAACCAGTTTTTATGCTGAGTGTCCCTGCACTACTGTACGATGAGTGTTTTTAAAGTAGGTTGTTAAGAAAATGTAAACCGTAAATAGTTAATAACACAGGGATGGTCCGCATACATTCCAAGCACCTACTTTAATTAAAGTAAATGTGACTGGAACATGAGAGAGGTATGCTCAAAATGTGTGTAGACCAGCCCACAATAAGGTTCTCAGTACTTGCATGGTCACAATTCCGTGGCCATCTTCAGGCCCCAATGCTGCATTTGACAGCTTTCCTTTCAAGCTCTCTTTAAAAAGATTCAGATGCTGTTTAATCACCACCAGAGAAAAGTAGAAACTATTATTCACATTCTCTCTTTTCTTCCTTTCTTTTTATTTATTTATTTATTGGTTGATTTATTATATTTTATTTCTATCCTTGTTTTCCTCTCTGGTCACTAATGTAAGGAAATTTCCCCCCAACTTTCAATCAGAGCCCATTTTAGATACTCTCTCAGGTCAGAGACTACACTAAAATAACCAATTTTCATGTTAAATTATGGTATGTTCACATTTTTCATATAATGTTTTTAATATTAATAATGGCTAAGTACGAAACTTTTGATGATGAACTGGGTAGACAGGAGTGCAAAATAACATTCAGAATTAAATTCTCCTGTCTATTATTTTGCTTCTAGTTTTCTACCATTTTGATGAAATCAAGCATTGAACTAACCTACTTCACAAACATAGATTTGCAGTAAAAATATAAATCTTCAGTTTTAAATGTTACAGAAAAAGAAGGAACTCAGAATTACCATCTGTCAACCACATTTCAGTCTGTTCCTGCACTGGGCTCAACCTATGACCTTTGCATTGGGGTCAGTCATTTGGCTAAGTAATAGAAAAGAACCATTGCTCTCAATTATTTTTTAAAATTTTTGTTTTTGGTGGCACTAGTTCAGAACAGCATTCCACTAAGACTGTTATGATAATGTACTTTAGTTAGTCTGGTATCCATCAGGATCAGATTTATCTTTTGATGTATTATATTATCTTTGGGTATGTCTACACTACAGCGCTAATTCGAACTAACTTAGTTCAAATTAGTTAATTCGAACTAAGCTAATTCGAACTAACGCATCCAGACTAAAAAAATAGTTCAAATTAGCGTTTTGCTAATTCAAACTAGCATGTCCACATTAAGTGGACCCTGAACCGGGGTTAAGGATGGCCTGAAGCAGTGCCGGCAGGGCATCAGATGAGGACTTAGAGTGTGGAGCTGCTGCCTCAGGCTAGCCGAGGGCTGTGCTTAAAGGGACCTGACCCCCAACCCGGACAGACAGTTCTCAGGGGTGCCCCGCTTGCAAAGCAGTCCTGTCTTGGAGTGACCTGAGTGCCCACACCGGGCACATACCAGCACTCGGCCATCAGACCGGCTGCACTTGCCGCAGGCTGCCATCTGGGGAGAAGGGGTAATTGGGGGGCTGCAGGAGAGCTTCCACCCCCAGAAGCCCGCAGAGCCAGCCCAGTCCTCCCCATCGGGGGCTTGTACTCCATTCCTCCCCCACCTCCTTCCACTTACCCTTCCCTAGCCCCCCTTCCTGATGTACAAAATAAAGAAAACGTGAGGTCAAAAATAGAATCTCTCTTTATTGAACAAAACTCGGGGAGACTGGGAAAAGGAGGTGGGAGAGGGGAAGAGAGAGGGTGGGAGAGGGGAGGGAAACTAAAATGATCAGAGGTTTGGAACAGGTCCCATATGAAGAGAGGTTAAAGAGACTGGGACTTTTCAGTTTAGAAAAGAGGAGACTGAGGGGGGATAGGATAGAGGTCTATAAAAGGCATAAAGAAGAGTTCTTCATTAGTTCCCATAATAGAAGGACTAGAGGACACCAAAGGAAAGGAATGGGTAGCAGGCTTCAAACTAGTACAGGCAGCCCCCGACTTACGCGGATCCAACTTATGTCGGATCCGCACTTACGAACGGGGCTCGCCCCAGAGGACACGGACTGCGGGACCTCGCGGTCCTGCTGCCCATGTACTCCGGGGCTTTCTCCACATCTCCCTGGTCTGCAGACCAGGAAGACGTGGATCAAAGCCACGGAGGGGCTCGGGCAGCGGGGCAGCCCAGGCGCGCCTGGGCTGCCCCG